GTATTTTGTTTTCCTCATTACATGGCCAAAGTATTCTAGCTTTCCGTAGGAAAACTTTTTAACATTTCCCCCCTATTTATTCCTTTCTTTAGTATTTCCATATTGGTCACTCTCCCAATCTAAGAAATTCTTAGCTTACTGTAACAAATCCACAATTAAAAATTAAAACCTTTTGTTATTAAAGTCCATCATTCCATGACATACTGTAGAACTGAAAACACAAGATGGATATAAAGTGTAACGTATTTTTATGCCCTTGCTCTTCAGTTCTCCGAGCGACAAAACTCAAGCGATCCAAGAGTTTTACCTAGGCTTTGGTTTCCTCTAAAATAATTCAGATAGGATACACAGCATTCTACAATATCTGAATGTATTTATAAATGAAGATTTAGCACATTAACGCTTTGACAAATAAGTATGTTGTGGGGGGTACAGATCTGTATCCCAAAGATGATGTTTCCAGAACAAGAATGCAACTCTGCTACTTCAGCTCTGTCTTGTCTAAGAAAGCCCTGCTGTTTCTTCACACATACAACCTGATGGACTTCTTGTGGAGCAGAGGCTGTGAGGGAAAGAGAAAGGGAGGAAGCTGATTCCCTTAAACTTTTTCTGATCAAACACCACTCCTAATAACAAGTGCGTGGAGGAACCCTTTGAGATCATTCAATCCAGCCCTTCAAATCTACGGCAATATTATTACACATATGAAAAACAGATTTCAAGAAATGGAGGGCACGCCTGTTCTCTACATGTGTTTAGAGATCGTCCCTCACCTATTATTCCACTCAAAGGAAGCAGCAAAGTTTGACAGTTTCCAGAGTGAAATACTAAAAATCAGCAGGAGAGCTCATGGCAGCACAGCATATAATGTCCCAACCTGAAAAGTGCAGTTGCATTCTGAATCCTGCTGATACAACTTGGTTGGCACCTATCACCATTCACAGATATTCCTGCCCTTTGCCTGGTAGAAGAAACAGAATGAAAATCAACCCCAAAGTCAGAAAATGCAACATTTTCATTACAGCTAGGCAGGCAGGCAACTTGTTTCAGTTAGTCAATAGCCTTCATAGTACTGTAAGCCCGCTATATACAGACCTGGCATGATAATCAGCATTTTGGGGAATGGAGTCAGTAGGTAAAGGATAAGGTGGGAGGATATGTCTAATATCCAATCCATCCAAATTCATGCAACATTCCAATGACGGAATACTGAGGAAACAATACATAAAATTGCAGAGCAGGCATTCCAAATGTGTGTGTTGCCTTAGCCTCTCCTAAATTCACCAGCTGGGTCTCGGCTGCCCTGACAGTTAGAACTGACCTCATTATTCATAATAAGGCTATGAGGGAGAAGAAAGAAATCTATTCCATATCTTGGAAGTAAAAACTCTGGCTGAGCCACTTTTGAAAGATCTCTGAAACTATCTGGATAGCTGGAGTTTCTCCTCTTATGCCCATTCATGCCACCTGTTCTGCAATAAGCATATTGTGTACTCCCTGCTACTAGAATAAAAGAGACCCCGGACTTCTAAAACTAAACAGACTACCATTGTACATTGTTCTTGAGGGAATGCAGGTAGGGTGTGAAGGGAAGGAGAGAAGGGAAAAGCTTAGACATTTGTTGTTGATTTCAATTCCCAGATGTGACCCCCTCCACACCAGGGAACCTGGCCGGTTGTGATGGTGGCTAGGGGGTTTTGGGAACTGCAATTCAAAAAAGTAACTCCTACAAGATCTGGAGGTGAGGCAGATGGCTGAACTTCAGAGCACCAACTGGTTTGCATACAGAAGGTTTTATGTTCCTTTCCTAGTATTACCAGGTAAGAAACTTCTCAGGTCTTTGGGCTGGAAAGGACCCCTGTCCAAAGCTTTGGAGAGCACCACTGACCATTACAGCAGCCAAAATTGGCTATAGATTAAGTAACAGAACTGTTGGTTTAATTCCCCATGAGTGGCTTTAATGCTCTCTTAGTGACAAGGGGCGACTTGTGCAGATGACAACTTCTGTATGGGGCTCTTATTATTTTTTAGTTATATTTACTCTTACCCCAACTTTCAGGATGACACTTTACAAGGTGGGTCCCTTTGAGGAGAAATGCAGGACAGAAATATTTGAAATAAATAAATTACAAGGTAGCTTACAAATTTCAAAAGCAATTGAAACATCATATAATTAGTAAACTGGTAAAATCACAACTTAATATGAAGCACCACAGCTAGAAGGCCTTCTTAAAAAATTACACAGAAGGGGAAATGGTATGAAAAACTGTAGAAAGAGCTCAGATTTTGCACAGCGGCTCAAGAATTCAATGGCCAAAATCCTGTTGCTTAGTGTGGTAAATTGCACTAGAGTAGGCCCATTAAATCAGTGAGGATTTGGTGCATCGACTTCACAAGTTCCATTGATTCATATGGATCCATTCTAATTATGGTTTATTTTTCATTGCAGTTAGAGTGGACCCTTTAAATCAATGAAATTTATGGAGGAATCAACCTACTAAATTGTCATTGATTTAATAAGTGTACCCTAGTATGATTTACTATGCTAAACAACAGGATTTTGGCCAATGTGTTAGCTTAGAAGGCTAAACTAGAACATACAGTTAACTTATCATTAGACAAAGGCATCCTCTAAGACCTAAAAGACTGCCTGCTTATTTAAACACATTTTAATGCTTTAATCTGATAATTATGTGTTTTTTGTTTCATCATGGATCACTGGGATAGGTGCATAACTTCATTTGCAAATCTGATTTATCAGACACTTGCTTTGAAAGAGTAAGGAAGGCAGAAGACCTATTATGAAATACTGGAAACTGGAAAAGTAAAGGAAGCCAACCCTTTACTGTAGTTCTCAAGACCTAAGCAGGCGTTTCCTTCTGGAAGTGACTAATTCATAGGGTTGCTATTATGTCAGAAGTAACTTAACCATGTGACCTGAACTTTATTTTAGTTTGGCTTTTCATTTCTTTTTTCTTTTCTTTCTTAAACTAATGCCAACATGCCCAGATTGGAAATCTGTGTGCAGCCATCCCTATGCCTTGATCATTGCACTCTCCTGTACTTCCAAAATAAAGGTTGCAAAACAGCAACAGCTGCAAAGATAGCCAGACCCTCTACAGAAGCACCACATAAAGGGACCTCTGTGGGGCTACTGCCAGCCACAGGGCCACTACCGGGTCTGCATGTTCCTGAGCAGAGCTTGGAAAATTATATTTTGGGAACCACAAGCCCCAAACTTTCCTTGTCAGAATGGCCAGCAGCTATTGGAATTCATGGTGGCTGGGGGATTCTGGAATTTGTAGTCCAAGAAGGAACTTCCAAAACACTGCTTCTGGGGTACTGACATTAAGCCTGACCTAGCCTGATGTTTAGTGCAACTCCGTGAGCTAAAGAACTGACAGAATCATTGGGGGTGGGAGGGTTGTTAAAACGTCTTGAGACTAAGAGCAACATGTTGTAACATTAAAAGTGAAGGTGAACTTTTAGTACTGCCATTGCAGCCTTGCTGCACAAGAGAAAGGGAGAAGACAAAGGAAAATCAGTCAGAAATGCTTACCTAGGTTTCAAGGTAGGTCAAGAATTGCTAGAAATTGCTTTCTGTGGTCACATCTTTACAGACTTCTGACATCCAGATATAAGCAAGCTCTCTCTTTTTCATGTTCTAAAGTGGCTGGTCTTTCACCATAATAACATTTTATCTATCTATCATGTTCTAAAAAGCTTCAGTTTATTTTCTAAACATCAAATGGCTACATACGCTTTTGCATGCTTTTCTCCTTACGTCTCCTGCTTTCTACATCTCTTGTCCCTGCAGGCAAACTCTTCAGATGTGTTCTTGTAAGCATGGCGACAGATCGATCAGTCAAACACAAGCAGTTATTGTTTGGTTATTGCAATAAATTATACAAAAAATATTGTTTGGGTTTAGCGCAGAGCAATCAGACTATAATTATCCCATAATGGAAAATGTGCTAATGCATCATGAAAAATGTGCTAGTTCATCATGAAAAATGTGAATTCTGACATGTGAAAACTACATGCAGCTCCTCCGCCTCGCCCGATCCCCACTTCATTTGCACAACTTGTGCTCTTGGTCCCTTCACACCCTTAAAATTCTCCCAAGCATTGCTTCCCACCCAGTATCGTGGTCATTCCTTTACCATTTCAGTTGCTCCGCTTTTTCTTAGCTCAACTCAGGCAATTAGGCAGAATCGGAGCTACCAATGTTTTCTTAAGAACTCAGAACTTCATCCCAACAATTAGTCTGTCAGATTTGGGGGCCAACAACGAACCCAGCAAGCCACCACAAAAAGAGAGAGTGAAGACATCCCAGCGTGACAGGTACAAATGGTTAGCATAAGAAGCCCCTGAGTTGAGCAGGGGATGCCCCCCTCCCTGCAAAGTGGAAGGTGAGAAGCACCTCCTTTCCCTTCAGTTCATGAGCCACCGCTGCGATCTATAAGATCCAGCAACTGTGAGTGAGTCTGTTCAGTGAACAGAGTTAGGCTGGTTGTCCTGGACGATAATAAAGCCAATAGGTCTGAGTTTCTCCTGCACCTATGTATGCCATAGGTGAATCATCAGTGAACAACAGAAAGGAGAACAACCAACATCGGATCAAAAATGAGAGGCACTGGCCAGAGTAGATTAACAGTCTCCTTATAGAGGGGTTTCAGCAACAGGGGAGTGGAAACAACACCAGTTTCACACGCGAGTTTCAAGCCTGGCCTGAGGGGGGGGCGGGCAGGGGAGAGGGCGGGAAAGCTTCCGATCCCAGTCTGTTTAAGGAGTGGTTCAGATTTGGCTCAACAATTCTGCCTTGGGGTGCACTTGCTCGCCCTCGGCGTGGGGGTGGGCGGGCACCCGCTCAGCCTCAGTTTCTCATCTGTATAATGGGAACAACTCGGGGCTCCAGGGCAGCCAGGCTAAACTAGAGGAGGATCGGCGCCAACTGAATAAAGAGGCAGGAAAGTGCTGCTCACACCGGCAATGCTTACCTTTATAGGAGAGGCGAAGTCGGGGCACGCCGCCCTTCCCGGCCCCGCCGTCGGCGAAGAGGCTCCCCGCGAACAGCCCCCACCAGGCGGCCAGGCCAGCGGAGACGCGCCTCATGGTGCCTTCGCTCGCCCTGCACGCTCAGGTCCGGCTCCCCCTTTCTGCCCTGCCCCGCCGCCCCGCGTGCTCAGGTGCCCCGACGGACCCCTTGCCTCGCCAGTATTTTCCAAGGACCCCTCCCTTCCAGCTGCCCGAGGGTCGAGCCGGCTCGTTCGGGGTTAAGAAACGCCGCTTGCCCCCCGAGGAACTCCGCTGGGCGCGAATCTCCGGCGCGGTTTTATACAAGCAGGGCTCCCCCCAGCTTCTTGAGAACGGATTGCCACAGACCCACAGCCGGGGCGGGAACGGCGGGGGGGGGGGTTTGCTGTTGTGTGTGGGGGGGGAGGAAGGCAG